TTGGTCCTCCGGTCTTTTGTTGAAGACATCCTCTCACTGTTGGTCCTACCGGTCTTTTGTTCAGATTGGAGGGAGAGCGACGGTCGGGAGCCCAGGAGGCGGGGCCACATCGAGGCCATGGAGCGTCTGCTGCAGCAGGTCCGAGCTACTCACACACACTACTGCTGTGGAGGTGAGTTGTTTACTGACGCTATAATACCAGAAGTGTCCTTAAAGGTCTGTCAGCAAACATCACCACCTTTTGTCTTCATCTAAGTCTAAATTTGATAAAGTTGTTGCCGCTCTGTTTGTTCGGCCCCACAGCTGTAAGATCTCCTCCTCATCCAGACGCACTTTAAAGCTCCACTATTTAATACTTTTAATATTAGCATTGACTGAAATGACTCACACAGCCGACGACATAAAGAAGCAAAACAACCACAGAGAGACACAAAACTTCTACAAAGAGACACAAAACAAAGAAATGCTGTGTTCACACCAACAAACAAGCACATTTTTTTGACAGCGGGATCATTAGTGTTCATTCATGTTACTCACACAGGAGTATTGTGATTTAATTGCAATAAACAGATCAAAATGATGCCGAAATAACAACATGAAGATGCAGATTTGTAAAAAGTCTGAATTCATGTTTTGTCAGATCTGTACGCAAGATGACAAACAACTTTTAAAATGCTTGTTCTCTGAATGGAGTATTTAGCATCTGTAAACTATAGAGTATAAATGAAGATATATTTGTATCTATAGAGACAGGTATTTGTTGGTGGAGACCAAAAACAGAGCTAAAAGAAAAACATATTATGTTTTATGTCGTCTTTAAGTTATTGTTTTTTTAAAGCAGGCTGTATTTTCTAATTTACTAAAGGTGCATATTTGTATTTATTAATTTGTTTTAATTCAAAGATTATTTCTCCCTTTTCCCATCTTCAGAATTATGATTGGGTTAATTGTCATGTAGGTTTTCACATATGAAGAATTGTCCTTGGTGTTTCGATGCATAACAATTAACAAATAAATAAATAGAAATAAAAGTAAGTACAGCAAAAGTAAAGAAAACACGGATAAAATTGACATTTAAAATATGACAAACAATAATATCAAAGTGCAGAACATCGTTCAGATTGATGGATGATGATCAGGAATCTGTCAGCAAGTAGACCTCTACTGATGTTAACATTCATTCTGCTCCTTCTTCTGCTTCTTCCTCTTCTTCCTCCTCCTCCTCCTCTTCCTTCTTCCGCTCCTTCTTCCTCCTCCTCTTCCTCTTCCTGTGTGCAGACTCCTCAAAGCTCCAGAACCCGAGCAGGAAGCAGTCTGTGTCCAGAAGTCTGAAGCATCTCTTTAACTCCTCCAACAAGTTTGTAAAGACTCTGAGGAGGTTTGTTCTGAACAAAAACTAACTACGCAAGTCTAAAAATAACATTTTCATTGAGAGTTGAACAAAGTGTAAATAAAAACATCTGAGGACCCTTAAAGACGTATAAATATACATAATATCTGTTCTTGACTAAATCCTGCTGCCACAAATACTCACTAAATGTGGATTAATCCGCCGCTGAAAATAGTCCCCATCAAAGTCAGTATTTGCTGCTGTTTGTTTGAACGTTTCACTTCTCTGATGTTATCAATGACATCAATAGAAGAAACACACATCCTGTCCATCAATAGACCTGGTTTTAATGGAGCCCTGTGCTGTTGGTCTACAGGGGGATCTACCTGGCTGCTGTCTTCTACCACAAGGACAGTTTACTGGTGACGGCCGAGGACCAGATCCCCATCGTGGAGGTGGACGACTCCTACAGCAGCTCCTTAATGCAGGACTTCCTCTGGTTCACCAAGGTAACTGCTGCTACGGGGGCTTTATTACCCAGCATGCAAAGTAGTACGTGGTCTCCATCTTTATGCAGATCCAGACATCTGACGCTAACGTTAGCTCAGCTTGTGTCTCCGATAACTTAAGATCCAGCTGTTTAATAAATAATAGAAAACAAACAATAGAAGCTGCTCGGTTTAGATAAATAATGTCTGTCTGTCTCTGCAGCTGTCCTGTATGTGGGAGGACGTCCGGTGGCTGAGACAGAGTATGTCGGTGTCCATGTCTTCATCCTCCACCCTGCAGGCTCGGCACAAGATGCTCACCGCCGCCAGCCAGCTGCAGGTCAGAACCCAAAAAAACCGCAAGACCTGAACGTGACGTTGTCACAAAGGAAAACTCACACCGAGTGAATAAACTGAATCACAAGTGCAGATTATATATCTATACATATAAATCATTTGATTGTTGTTATCATGTTCTAACATATGAAGGTGTGTGTGTACTGACTGGTCCTGCAGAACCTCCTGGGGACTCACAACCTGGGCCGGGTCCACTACGAGCCCATCAAGGACCGACACGGCAACGTGCTGCTGGTGACCATCCGCGATGTGGAGAGCCAGCACTCGCTGCTCAGCGGGAAGTGGATGCAGGTGACCAAGCTGCAGAGCCAGAAAAAGTCCCTGTCCACACCTGAGGAACCGTACGCCCTCGACATCCTCATCATCACCATACAGGTGAGGAAGCTCCTCGGACCAAAGAGTCTCTAAAGACTCTGATAATTTAAGATCCAGACGTCTGATGCTAACGTTAGCTCAGCTTGTTCCTCTGATAACTTAATATCCAGACGTCTGATGCTAATGTTAGCTCAGCTTGTTCCTCTGACGACTTGAGATCCAGACGTCTGATGCTAACATTAGCTCAGCTTGTTCCTCTGATAACTTGAGATGCAGACGTCTGATGCTAACGTTAGCTCAGCTTGTTCCTCTGATAACTTGAGATGCAGACGTCTGATGCTAACGTTAGCTCAGCTTGTTCCTCTGATAACTTGAGATGCAGACGTCTGATGCTGACGTTAACTCCTGCAGGACATCTTGGCGTACCAGCGGCGCAGCACCCACCGTCTGGCCCCGGGACTCTACCTGGGTTACCTGAAGCTCAGCAGCTCTGTAGACCAGATCAAAGTCCTGGTGTCCCAGCGGACCCCCAACATGCTCTGTCACAGCCGCATAAGAGAAAACGCCAACGTGTCCAGGTATAAAAACACACACCAATGAGTTAAAGTTAGAGACAGATGGTGGAGAGCAACACTTCTACATTTACAGTCATAATAACACTTTTTACGTCATAAATGATTATTATTTCTGATCACAATTATTTATTGATTTTAGGGACAAAATATTTTCACTCCCACGTTGTACAACATTCCTGCTGGTGGACAAATCTTTGCATTAAAATCAGACCTAACTTACTACGACTACTACCTTTTCATTCAGTGTTGATTCTGGCGCCCCCTGTGGACTAAAGCAGTAGTGTTTCTGAGCACCAGAGTCCCTTTTTCTATTTTTTCGAAAACTATATTTAATTTATATCAAATCTACAGTTTCCACAAATACATACATGGTTCACAAGTATACAAACATAAGAACACAAAGACAGATACAAGAAAAAGTGCTGTGTGCTTGGGTCAAAAGTGCAACAAATGCCACGGGAGGGACTGGCTCTTATCAATAGTTCTCCTTCTCCTGAGTTCAGTGACGACATGTTTCACCACCATGTTGCCGTCCATTACAGTCTGTTTTATTACCATTATACATCTGGTTTTCCAGATTTTGAAACATGTGATGCTGACAATGAGCTGGTAAAGTTCCCTTTGTTTAACGGACATCTTCTCAAGAGTCCCTTTAGAAAACCTCTCATTTTACTGCAGCAGATGTGAAGCTCCAAACATCTGCATCGCCCCCTGGTGGCTGTTAGTTTAAGGACCGCTTGATTTTGACATGCAGCGACGTTTTCTACAAGTGGTTTTAAACGTCTATATCGCAGTCGATCACGTTAATTTAATTGTGGGATTGAGATTAATATTAGATTAACTGTGCAGCCTTAGTTTGAATCATGAGAGAGATCATTGGTGAGTGTGTGTGTTCATGTATTCATGTGTATGAATACTTGAGACTTCCAGAGAAGCTCTGTGCAATGAGAGCTGTTTGCACCTACAGATCAGCACTCATTCAACTCATCTGACCGTATTACGTTACACTGTGTGTGTGTGTGTGTGTGTGTGTGTGTGTACAAGGAAAGATAAATACCAAACACAAAACAATAATTAAAGTTTGTGTGTTGGACTGAAGCTGCTGTTGATTTGGTCTTCCTTTAATAATGTTAACACTTGCAGCTGATCATGTTATTATATTAAATATATATTATTGATATCATATCATGCTGATTGGTAGGAACGTGCTGGTATTTTGACCTTTTTAAAACATATTAATACAATATGAATTATTCCTAATCGCAGTCACAGTGGAGATGTAGTATTAACAGTTCATATTTAATGGTTGTTCAGGGAGGAGTGGGACTGGATCCAGATGCTGTCGGCTGCAGGTGACAAGAGCGAGGAGGCGGAGTCCAGTACAGAAAGCCACGCCCCTTTACTGTACTACGAGCTACAGACGGCGATCAAGTCTCTGCTGAAACACCTGAACCTACCTCTGCCCCAGGTAAAGATCGTTACCATAATGAACATCAGCATCAGTCTGCAGTTAAAGGAGGAGAAGCTCATGTTGAAAATCAGGACTCGTCTGTTAAATTGATTCATTTTGTTTTATGCTTAAAATCTGAGCTGGTTTGTTTTTTAGGTGGGGATTTTATTAAACAAGTAATTATCTTAAATAGTAAAGATCTTCTGTACATTTATATATGTTTCATGTAAATGTTGTTTTCGTAATCGTAGTAAATTATTTTTATCGTTAAGAGATTAAGAAACAGTTGATGTTTGTAGATTTCTCTTCATTTACGATTCACATTAAAGGTTTTATTTCAGTTTTCCAGCTTGACTGTTTTAAACTTCAGTTGTTCCGTTATTGAAATCTTGAGATTGAAGTGTTCTACTCACCTTGTGGAGACAAAATCTGTTGATGTTGTCTCACCACCTTTACAGTAAAACATCAAGTTAAAGAAAGAGCCTGTTTCTTTGGTTATAGTTAAAGTTAGTGTGTGTGTTATCCTCGTAATTATCACAGATTATTATCCACATTATTTCCAGTTATTTTCCATATTATCGACCATTATCGTCCAGATTATCACAGATTATATTCAAGATTACATTACATTACAGTCATTTAGCAGACGCTTTCATCCAAAGCGACTTACTATTCAGAATCTATCACATTCACACACCGGAGGCTCAGCTACGGGAGACATGTTGAGGTTAAGTGTCTTTGCTCAAGGACACATCGACATGCGACTTGTGGAGTCGGGGATCGAACTGCCGACCCTCTGATTGAAGTACGACCCTGCTCTCCACTTAGCCACAGTTGCCCAAGATTATCACAGATTTCCATCTAGATTATCACCTATTATTACCCAGATTTTCACCGTTTTAGTCCAGATTATAACCCATCATCATCCAGATTATCACAGATTATCATCCAGGTTATGTGTGTGTGTGTGTGTGTGTGTGTGTGTGTGTGTGTGTGTGCGTGTGTGTGTGTGTGTGTGCAGGCCCGTCACTTCCGCCTGTACAGTCAGGAGGTTGTGGAGCTCGGTCACGGCGTCTCCTTCCTGCTGCTGTTGCCGGCGGCCGACGACGTTTGCTCCGCCCCCGGACAGTCCAACCCCTACACCCCCCTGTCAGGGTTCCTCCACCTCCCTCTGCAGATGTTTGAGCTCGGTAACGACACACACACACACACACACACACACACACTTTTAAATTAGTAACCAGTTACTTTTCAGATGACAGTTGTTCATCCCCTTCCTGTCCTGGTAAAACCACGTATCTCCAGATGTGTAGAGAAAATCCTCGTCCTTCTTCAGCTAAATAAACTCTTTAAAAAGCCTCTTGGAACAGATGGAAAATTCATTGTCACAAAGCTGCTTGTTCTTTTTAGAGATCCGAGGTTCTCACAGAACAGAGGCGCTACAAACACATGATGATCTTATAGAATATGATGCATTAATGTAGATTAAAGTAAACAGGATATAAAGGAGTTACAATGCTACATACACATGAATGCAGCTTCATGCAGGTCGTCTGTGCTGACTGTGTTGAGGTGGACAGACTGAGCTGTGTTACACACACACACACACACACCTCCGTCTGCAGGGAGCAGCACTAAATCAGTCTGCAGGCTCCAGCAGGACGGCCTCTCTGCTGACCCCCCCCCCCCCCCCCCCCCCACCCCCCCACACACACAAACACACACACAAGAATGTGTCAATAACACACATACACACTGCACAATACTGCCTCTTTGTACACACACTGACCTCCTCACCAACTGCGTCTCTCTGAGGGAAACTCTCTGAACATGGGACCAGATTTATGGCACTTTTTTACCAAATTTCCCCCCAAAAAGTCCCACATTTTCACCAATTATCAAGACTTTTACCAGCTGTCATCTAGATTATCCCAGGTTATAGTCCAGATATAACCTGCTTTAGTTCAGATTCTCACTGATCATCCTCCAGATTTTCACAGATTATCGTCCAGATTTTCATTGACAATCGTCGATATTATCAACCATTATCGTACATATTATAAACCGTTATCGTCCAGATTAAAAACCGTTATCATCCAGATTAAAAACCGTTATCGTCCAGATTAAA